TCTTGCCTCAGCCTCCCAAGTAGCTGGGACTATAGGTGCCCGCCACAACACCCGGCTATTTTTGGTTGCAGCCATCATTGTTGTTTGGTGGGCCCAGGCTGGATTTGAACCTGCTACCTTAGATGTATGTGGCTGGTGCCTTAGCAGCTTGAGCCACAGGTGCCGAGCCTATGCCTATTACTTTGTATTCTCTTCTGTGCCCCATTTATAGGCTCATGATTCTGTGTGGCTTTAACTGAAGAAGTGATTGACTTTGAGGGACCATGTCATTCCATGAACCTGTTCCCATATTGCCAGGCTATTTTAAGACGGCCATGTCATAGTCCTCCAGCTCCATGCACCAGGATGAATATAACGAATCCCCTCTTGTCGGGCACTGTCCACAGTGGCACTGTGACCTCGTGTTTGGTCTTCTGCTCTCTGTCCTTGGGCCTTTCTCAAGAGTGGGACTTGTGGTCAGGCTAGGCCCATTTTTATGCCTCTGGAGATAAATCTGTGGCTGAATGGCTAAAGTTGCTTTTGACCTTGAGGGAGGTAACTGGCAAAAAGCCCTGAATACAGCTTTAGGCACATTGTCAAGGGCAGGTCAGTACCTTATGAATGAATGAAGGAAGGAAGGAATGAGTGATGGGGAAGCTGTCAGTGCTTCTTCCACACTAGATGGAGAAATTATTTGCTTTTTTCCCCCATTTTTTCTCTCATCTGTGAGTTCCTAAGAAATTTCTCAGTTGAGGTCTGGAGCCTGCCGGAGCAGAGATGGCTGGATATAGAAAGTTGAGGGTTCTTAGATTTTAATGCAGAGAAAAGAGACAGTGTCATTGAGCCTAAGCACACTGGAGCTGGTGGAGCGGTGAGCTGAATTATGCATAACACATAATTTAGTTTACTGAATCACACGCAACACACACACAAGGATCCAGATGTGGTGCTACCATGCTTATAGTCATCTGGTCTACCTACCTCTGTTCTCTTTATGTGGGCAGAGAAGCTAATATGGACCCAGCTTGGGGGAGCCATATTTCAGGGGACCAAGATCACATAGCACTAGAATCTGAACCTTGGGCTTTCTGCATGTGAGCTGGGCCATTAGGCTCCTCTTGTCCCTGTCATTCATTCATTCAGAAACATTTATTGAACATTGTCATGTGCCAGGCTCTGCTCTAGACGCTGGGAGCTGAACTTCTAGTGGGGCCAAGACAGGTCACGATCAAGTAACAAACAGATGCTAAATTGAACGTGACCATGAGAAACAGGGTGGTGAGCCTGTGCCGGCACCTACCCCCAGAAGGGGCAAATCCTGAGCCTGCCTTTAGAGCTAAGGCTGGTGGGGCTGACTATGGACAGGGGCAGACAGAGCCCTGACAGCAACTGATGGGAGCCCCGAAGCCACAGAAACCACAGCCCCGACAGAGGGCCACTCTGGTGAGGCTCATCTTTCAGCTTGAGACCGTGGTTTGGAGTGAATCCCAGCTCAGTGCATACAAGATGTGGGCCTTAAGACAAGCCAGTTAAACTTTCCTAGACCTCCCTTTTCCTCACTGTAACACAAGAATAAAAATACCACCTGTCTACCAAAATTGTTTCAAGAATGTAAGGAGTTGCTGACTGTGAGCTACTCAGCACGGGGCAGATACCAGGTGGGGGTTCCTCGCTCTGGGTTCACTGGGGCAGCATGTGCTCCTGGGCTCAGGAGAGCACATTGGGCTGGCTGCCGGAAGACTGACTCTGGGTCCCAGCTATGCTACCTTTGGCCCCAGTCTTCCTGTGTGGAGCTGTCCTTTTAATTAGAGTGTGAAAGAAATGACTCCGTGAGTTTCCTCAACTTCAGCAGGTTGGAGGAAGGTAACAGGATAGTTTCAGAGGCTTCAGCAATAAGGGTGGCTTCTGCATGTCCCTCTTTCTACAGCCCCCTAAAAACCCTAATGCTGGAGTCCTGACTCATGGTGCAGGGGACAAGTGCTGGCCTGGTAGCCTGGCAAGGCTCAGCTTTGGGTTCCAACTGAATGTTTAAATAAATTGCCAAGGTCACGCACTAAGAAGAGGCAGGATGAGGTTCAAGTTTGCCTGATACCAAGTCAGTGCTGTTGCCTTCATATGAGGCCACTGCACAGATGTGGAGGCAGAGGTGCAGAGTGTGGCTGTGTCCCTCTCTTCTCCCTCTTTGCCTCCCTCCAGGCAAATGAGGGTCCTTTGACAACACCATCCCCTCGTCCTTTCCTCTACCCAGTAATTGGCTCTACGTGCTCTTAGAGATCAAAGACATTTCACTGTCCCCTGGGGCCCGTGTCCTCCCTGAAGCCCCCTTCTATGTCTGTATCCTTGCAGGAATAAGCTGCCCTCTCAGGATGAAGAGGCCGAAGAGCTCAAGGCGCTGGCACCAGCTGAGTCCCCAGTGGTTGCCTGGTCGGACCCCACCACTCCACAGGACACTGAGTGAGTGGGGGCCACCTTTGGGGTCTCAGAGAGTAGAGGGCAGGGAAGGATGGGGAGGGGTAGGATAGGGAATGGATGTGTTTAGAACCTTCCATTGCAAGGCAGACTTGACCAGGGGCCTCCAAGCAGCAGGACAGGGCAGAGTCTGCAGGGTAGGCTGGAACTCTGGGCCCAGCTGTGCCCACAACCCACTCAGAGAGGGGAGACCCACTCTGTCTCTAGGTGGAGGCCCCCTTGTAAGGGAGATACTGACAGGAGCCACTGTCGGGGCACCTGCTAATGAACCCCTAAAAGGGCCAGTGGAGGCAGAGGGGACCACCAGGATCTCCAGTGGGTCCCATCCGGGGAGCACATGAAAAATAGATTCCCAAGCCCCAGCCAGCTCTGCCAGCTCAGAGCCACAGACAGTGGGCCTTGGGGAACCTTCATTTTGACAAGCTCTCTGGTGATTCTGACATTCCTGGACTTCAGTGCAATACACAGAGGCCACTATGATGCCATTGGCACCTGGGTCTCTGCCATCTAACTGTCCCAAGGACTGAGACAATGGGAGGTGTTTTCTGAAGGGTTTGAGTAACCAGAGTGATGGTGAATGCCCCAGCAGCGGCCTGGGCTATGGCCTGAAATCCTTACCACGCTCCCCAACCACAACTCCCAGCCTAACAACGGCCCTTCCTATCATGTTTTCTATCTGTAATTCTATGCAGTTTATGCTTCACAGAGTTGTGGGAAGGGCTTACAAGATAAAGAAGCAGGGGGAATAAAACCCGAAGGCTTGCTTATAGTTTCTTGTCCATTTTAGCACCTAGTGGAGTCACATTTTATGCAGTAGGGGTAGGGACAAGGTTAGGGTTCAATATCATAAAATAAGGCATATATGTGGTGTAATAATTAAAATGACCCTTGAAAATCCTTCAGGAGGTTAACTTGGCAACACATTAGCTCAGGTAAGCTGCTGTAACAAACAGACCCCAAAGTTTTAGTGGCTTAAAGAATGAGAATGCACCTTGTATGTCAAAGTTGTCTCACTGGTTTCATGTGTCAGGTCAGCAGAAGGCTCTGGTCCTTGCAATTACTTAGGGACCCAGTTGACAATGGCCGTTGCCTTCTCTGTGTGGCTTCTGAGATTCCCATGGCCACCACTAGAAAGGGAGAGCTGCGGATCTCTCTTCAGCAAGGAGGCCTGAAGTTGCAGGTATCATATCTGCTCACCTCTCATGATGAGAGCTCGCACCACCACACCTGGGAAGTGTCATCCTTGGCTGGGTAGCGATAGTGTGTGAGAAAAATACTCAGCTCAGCGAGATGACCACAGTGAGGTCTTGTAAGGGAAAGCTGATTCACACGGCCTATCTTGGCTCACCCAGGGCACGTGCCCCACGCTGAGTAGACTGCGAGGCAGACTCTCATTTGTCCTCTGTCTGTGTCTCTCTCTCCCTGCCCCAGTGTACACATGTTAATTCCTGTAAGTTGAAGAGCTTTGTAATGTTCTGTACTGCTTTATCCACTAGCTATTTCTTTCTTTTTATTTATTTATTATTTTTTTTTTTGAGACAGAGTCTACTTTGTTGCCCTGGGTAAAGTGCTGTAGCATCACAGCTCACAGCAACCTCAAACTCTTGGGCTCAAGCAATTCTGTTGCCTCAGCCTCCCAAGTAGCTGGGACTACAGGCACCCACCACAATGCCTGGCTAGTTTTAGAGATGAGGACTTGCTGCTCTGGCTCAGGCTGGTCTTGAACCTGTGGGCTCAGGCAATCCACCTGCCTCAGCCTCCCAGAAGCTATGATTACAGGCATGAGTCACTGCGCCCAGCCCACCAGCTATTTCTTAAACCTAAAAAAGGAGCCCCATTCCCCTCTCTGCTCTGACCCCCCACACAGATCTCATGTGAACCCCAGACTGGGACTAACAGCTTGATTTGCTGAATTCCAAAGGTAGGATTGAACTTTTTCCAGAACTGTCCATCTGAATCACATCCTATGTGGTACCTTTTCTAAAAGCTTGGCCAGAGCACCTGGCCATTGTTCCCAGACTGAATTTCCTTCCCGGAGATATTACAGCAGGTCTGTGGTTTCTGATATCAGAAGGAGACAAAGCAGGACTTAAACTTCTTCAGGCTCTGCTAGAAGGTGGGACACAGATGCTGCCTGGCTCTGGCCTAGAGCCAAGGGGTCCCTGCTTCTCAGCTTTGGGTGATGTCCCCACAGTGGCCAGGATCGTGCAGTCTCCACGGCCAGCCACAATAGCGCCATTATCAATGACCGGCTCCAGGAGTTGGTGAAGCTCTTCAAAGAGCGGACGGAGAAGGTGAAGGAGAAACTTATCGACCCTGATGTCACCTCGGATGAGGAGAGCCCCGCACCCAGTGAGTCTGGAGCTGCCCATCTGACCAGGGAGGGGGTGGGCCCCCCCAAAGCCTCCTGTCAACTTATGGTGAAGATGGTCCCAAGGAGATGGCTGGGGTGCATGAGAGAAGCCCAGATCCTCATGCTCTGGATTTGGGGTCCCACGTGTACACATGTGCAGGTTTAGATCTGTACCTGGGAGTGGGATAAGATAGCCGTTCTGACCAACCATCCAGTTGTCCCTGGCTCCCTCTCCCTCAGGGCAAGTCCTTTCATTGACCCTTCTGCCCTGTTCCCACTGGCAGGTGGGTGTTGCCACCCAGGGATGCACTTCAGGGTCTTACATTCAGATGGTGTCCACAGACTCTGGAACTAGATGGTCTTATTTTTCAGGCTCTTGGTGCCTTGAAAGTTCTTATGGTACTACCTGAAAGTTTTGTTTCTTTCAAGGTATCAGGAGGAAATAAAAAATACACTCTCTTGTCAGGGAGATTTTCTAGGTCTTTCCAGATGAGGGCTGTGTCTTGGGACTCATGGTGCCCGCAACTGACCTAGCAGAACCCGGCTTCACAGTCCTAAAGCTAGGAACACAGCCATATTGAACCTGTAAGCACCAATCCTTAGATCACAAAAAGCATTGTTACAGGTCCACAGGGAGGCTGAGCTCCCATCCAGTCTCTCGTTTTAGAGATGAAGGAGCTAAGATTCCTTCTCAGGAACTTAGAGCAGCATTTCCCTGGTATGATTTTGTTGGGCCCTTTAGTATTTTGATCCTGGTGGTGGAGGTCTGGGTACCAAATGCCTCTAACCATCAGAGGGGACCAAGGGGGGTCTAAACACAGACATAAGCAGACACTGAAACATCCAACTTGCCCAGAAACACCTTATTTGGGGTGGCTTCTGAGAAGTACGTCCAGATTGGCAGCTGGCATGAGTTTCTAGGTGGGCTCCCAGGCTTCTGTTGAAGAGGAAGCTATGGGGTCCTCTCCAGGAGAGCACCTCCGTTTCCTCACACAGAGCTTGCCAGGGTCCCCTGAGCTCCCATGCCAGGGTCTATGGTTGGGACCCTTCTCTCTGCATCCTCTACCTGGGCCTTGGGGCTGGGTCAGATTGTCACCAATGTCATTCCTCAGCCCCAGCCAAGAAAGCCCCAGAGCCACCTCCAGACACAAAGCCCCCTGAAGCAAAGCCGGCCGAAGAGGAGCACTACTGCGACATGCTCTGCTGCAAGTTCAAACGGCGGCCCTGGAAGATGTATCGGTTTCCCCAGAGCATCGATCCGCTGACCAGTGAGTTCTGGGGGGAGGGGGTGCTCCCTCTGTGTCACAGGAGAGAGCAGAGAGGGGGAGGATGATGAGGGGCCGTTACTGGGGGAACGTGGGGGGTGGGGGGAGAAGCCATGGACGCTCTGGGTTTGTGACCTTTTGTACTTTTCAAAACGATTCCACACTTGCTCACCCAATTCTTTAAACAAACAAACAGGAAAGATGTATAGAGACTCCTCAAAAAATTCAAATTAGATCTCCCATTTGACCCTGTAATCCCACTACGAGGCATCTACCCAAAAGAAAAAAATCATTTTATCATAAGGATATATGCACTAGATTGTTTATCGCAGTTCAATTTACAATTATCAAGATGTGGAAACAACCTAAATGCCCACTAACCCAGGAATGGATAGCAAACTGTGGTATGTGTATACCATGGAATACTACTCAGCCATAAAAAGATGGTGACTTAGAATCTTTTGTATTAACCTGGAGAGAGTTGAAACACGTTGTTCTCATTAAAGTATCACAAGAATAGAAAAGGAAGAATCCAATGTACTCAATACTAATATGAAGCCAGTAGAGGATCTAATTCACGCCCACAAAGGAGAAAAATGCATTGCAATTGGGGGAGGGGTATGATGGAAGGGGGAGAGGGTTGGGGTGCGCCCACTGAATGGGCTCATTGTGGGTGTGTATGGTACACCTTTGGGGTGGAGGCCATGACTACAAGAGGGACACTTATAACAAATTCAATATTCAACAAATTCAAATATTGTGATATGGCTGTTTGTACTCTCACATTAACCTGAAATTTAAAAAAAAAACACGCATAAATAAACAACAATAACAAAAGTCCCTGGAATAGGAATATAGATCATACCGTTTTATAGATGAGAAGTTAAGGCACATGACAACAAGGGTAAAGGCACAATTAGTAAGTAGAGACCCAGGGTTCCTGATTCTGGGCCAAGTCTGTCTACTCGGGTCTACTGGCTTTTCCCTGGATCGCCTGCTTTAAGCAGGAAAGGTCAGGAATTCTGCCAATGGCTGGGGTGAATTCCTCATTCTTCCCTTTAAGCCCATTCCATGTTTCTCAGAAATAATGGCTTCATGTGTGTACACAGCTTTACAGTTTACAAATGACCTCCCTGCCTCTCCGTTCCTACCTTTTCCTGTGACTTCTCTGGGAAGGGCGTAGCAGGTACCAGAAAGGGACTTTCTTAAGGTCACTGAGGAAATCATTTGGGGGCAAGACCCCAACTCTGGGCTTCTAAAGTGACCAGGTGATCTATGGTGTATGACCACTCATCCATCCACCCATCTGTCCACCCACCATGCGCTATTTACTGCTCTATGTTTACTAAGGCAGGTCATACATTTTTGGAAAAGTTTCAAAAATAATGAAAGCAGCTGGGTGTGGTGGCTCATGCCTGTAATCCTAAGACTCTGGGAGGCCAAGGCAGGTGCTTGAGCTCACGGGTTCAAGACCACCCTGAGTGGTGGTCTTGACCACCCTGAGTGAAATCCCGTGTCTACTAAAATTAGAACAACTGAGGCAAGAGGATCTCTTGAGCCCGAGTTGGAGGTTGCTGTGAGCTATGACAGCGCAGCACTCGACCTAGGGTGGCAGCTTGAGACTCTGTCTCAAAATAAATAAATAAATAAATAAAAATAAAATAAAATAAATAATAAAAGCAAGAGGGTTTGCTAGTTTGCTGTCTGTTAGCTGATAATGTCACCATATTCCCTCCTCAGAGTGTTCTGATTTGTTAGGGCCCAGTGGTGACTTACTTTTATTTTTATTTTATTTATTTATTTGGAGACAGAGTCTCACTTTGTCGCCCTCAGTAGAGTGCTGTGGCATCACAGCTCACAGAACCTCAAACTCTTGGGCTTAAGTGATCTTCTTGCCTCAGCCTCCTGAGTAGCTGGGACTATAGGCACCCTCTACAACACCCAGCTAGTTTTAAATCAAAGAGAGTTTTACACACTAACACCCAGTCCCCAAAATGCCACGTGTAGTAGTTGAAGGGAAGCAGATAGGAGGAATGAGGGAAGACCCACGTGATGCCACCGGTGAGTAGCCTTGTCCAGTGGATGTTCTAGCATCTTCCTGCCCCCTCCCACCCTGCAGACCTGATGTACGTGCTGTGGCTGTTCTTCGTGGTGTTGGCCTGGAACTGGAACTTGTGGCTGATCCCTGTGCGCTGGGCCTTCCCCTACCAGACACCAGACAACATCCACCTCTGGCTGCTGATGGATTACGTGTGTGACCTCATCTACTTCCTGGACATCACCTTGTTCCAGATGCGCCTGCAGTTCGTCAGAGGCGGGGACATCATTGTGAGTCGAGGGCAGGGGGAGAGGGTAGCCAGGGGCAGAACCCCCAGCCAGAGCCTTCAGGGGACTGACCCTGATGCTATCAGAGACAACAAAATAAATGAACGAGAAATCTCAGGAACTGCTGCCTGTGCTTGTTCAACAGCACAGCTGCTTACTCCACCTGCCCTTAATATGTTCAGATTAACACACCAGATCGTGTTCCTAGGGGGATTAGTCCCCGGACCACCTGATGGATTTAAAGATGGAGAAGTGGCCCAGAGAATGGCCGTTAGTGCAGGTGCACTTGGTTCAAATCCCAGCTCCACCACACGAGTTGGAATTGCCTCTCCCAGCCTCAGTTTCCTCATCTGTAGAATGGGAATAGACCTAGCTCCCACCTTGTAGTGCCGCAGTGGGGATTCATTGAAAGGACATGTGTGGAGTGCCCTGCACAGGTAACTGCGGGCAACTGACGTTTCCCGGGGGACCTGCAAAGAACACACTGATGTTCTCCTAGGGTTCAAGTTTGAGACCCTGCACTCTGGTCTAGGCCTTGCTTACCAAGGAGGAAACTGAGCCCCGATTGTGGCTTATCAGGAGCAGGGGCATAGTTCCTATTTTGGTTACTTTCCAAAATTCCATACTCGTGGCACCTGCTCCACTGTGTGCAGGCAATTTAGGGAAGTGTTTCTAACCTTTTTTTATCTCATGACACACTTGAACCTATAGTTAAACTTCCAGGGCACACTCAAATTATATTGATTTAAAAAAGAGTAAAAAAGAATATACTTACTGTGCTTTGAACTTCTTTTGAAAATAATTTAATTAATGATCCTGAAAAATGTTTGTGGTACACCCCCTCTCATGGCATACCAGTGTGCCTTGGCACACTTAAAATCACTGATTTAGAAGAAAGAGAATGCCCTGGTCACCCTCCCTCCAGGCCTGATCAGAGTAGTTACCAGCCCCTCAGTGAATAAAGTTGGTCTGGGTAAGACTAGTGGGCTGAGAGAATAAGTGTAATCTTCTCGTTTTTCCATCCAAGAAATCAGAAGGTGACTTGGTGTTCTCATAGGAAGGTGGGGTTCTTCAAAGAATTCTGTTGCTTCACCTAGGGGTCAGGTCTAAGCTCTAAGGTCATTCCATTTTCTTACAGACGGACAAAAAGGACATGCGAAATAACTACCTGAAATCTCAGCGCTTTAAGGTGTGTGTCAGGGATGCAAATGTTAGCATCTGTGGGGTCTTAGAAGGTGGCATCTCAGAGAGCTCTGAGTGCTTTGGGGCCCAGGTGACATGCTTCCTGTCACATGTGGGGGGATGTAGATCTCATCTTTCAGGGGAGTCCCCAGTGGTCTCTAGGGGACTATGGTCCCCAGTGCCCAGGCTGCAGACTGACAGTGGTCACACGGAGGAGGGGAGTGGCAGGCTAGTGAGGCAAGCTGCGTCTGTATTTGCAGCCACTCCCCATCACGTGCCATCGCTGCCTGAGCTCCGCCTCCTGTCAGATAAGCTGCAGCATTACATTCTCACCGAGTGCAAACCCTACTGCAAACGCACACGGGAAGGATCCAGGTTGTGCGCCCCCTATGGGGATCTAACACACGGGAAGGATCCAGGTTGTGCGCCCCCTATGGGGATCTAACGCCTGATGATCCGAGGTGGAGCTGAGGCAGTGACGCTGGCACTGAGGAGCGGCTGCCAATACAGACTATCATTAGCAGGCAGGGCCGACTGCACAGAGACCATAGAAAATCCACTGCTTGCAGACTCATAACAAAACCACCCCTTTTCTGTCTGGTCTATGGAAAAATTGTCCTCCATGAGATTGGTCCGTGGTGCCAAAAAGGTTGGGGACCTCTGCTCTAAGCCCCAAACTCCAGGAGACCACCAGAGGTTGGATGGCCCTCAGAGGCACCTATCCATGTGTCTATACCACTCTAGCTCCTGCTACGTGGCATAGCAGCCTGGTGCCCTTGGGGTTGGTGACCTGGGCTTTGAAGCCAAACAGAGGTTTGCTGGTGGGATGCTTTCTGTCTTCTACCATGTTTCCCCGAAAATAAGACCTACCTCCCAAAAAAGCCCTAGCAGGATTTCTATGCATTTGTTAAATGTAAGCCCTACCCCGATAATAAGACCTAGTGATGGGTGTGGCTATGCAGATATGCATTTCAGCACAGAGAGGAAGACATCCCCTGAAAATAAGCCCTAATGTGTCTTCTTGAGAAAAAATAAATATAAGACAGTGTCTTATTTTCAGGGAAACATGGTAGCTTTAGGCCCCTCTAGGGCACTCTGACCTCACTTTTCCATTGAAAATAGAGACCCTGCCCTCACTCTCTTCACCCTGAACCCTGGGCTTACCTGTTTTACCCACTGTGATGTCCTACGGGTATTTCAGATGGATGCGCTGAGTCTCCTGCCCTTGGATTTTCTCTACTTGAAGATGGGTGTGAACCCCCTCCTTCGTTTGCCCCGGTGTTTAAAGGTAGGACTGGTGGGCCCCACCATTCCTGCCCTTCAGCTCCTCTGTGCTGTGCACCAGCACTGGCATCTTAATGGCCATTCCCAATAGCGCAGGGCAGTGGGGTGGTGTCCTTGAGGGATGGCACAAGGGGAGAAGCATTTTTCCCACGTGTATCTTAGTGGAAAGTTGATTACAATTGCTAGCACTTTCTGTTCCAGGGACTCTACCAAGACTTACTCCTCAGCCCATAGTGTGAGTGTTATTACCACCATTTTACAAATGAAGGGACTGGGGCACAGAGAGTTTAAGTAATTTGCCCAAGGTCACACAGCTAGGAAGACGTGGACTGCAGATTTGCAGGAAATCTGCC